AGTAATAGATGGCAACATGAAGAAAAAATTGAGTTTATTTGATATACTAGACAAAGTTACAAATTAAAGTAAGAAGAAAAAAATAAATCTAATGAAGGATCAATTATAATATTAGTGGAAAAAATAAAATATTCACTTCATATATATCATTAATAAAAAATAATTAGTTAGAATTTAAAATAACTATATATACATCACTATATATAAAATTTTATTTTAAATTTGTATTATTAAAAAATTATAAAAATATCTTAGACATATTACAAATTATATTTTATTATTCAATATTTACTAAATATTAAATAAAAAATCATACTAAATGATGTAAATTACTATTACTTTTTAAAAAAAAAATTATGAAATAGATATCTATTATTATAACATATTTTTTTTAAAGTATAGCATTAATTTTTTTATTTATAATATTTTAAAATTTTATTTATAATTCAATGATTAAATTATTTATTGGTTTAGTATTTTATTTATTTTATGATAAGAATATTTTCTAAATAAATAATTGAAATATGTCTAAAAAAATTTATGCTTTTATAAATCATCAATATATTCTGTAAATATTTTATATATATTATATTCTATTTAAAGTTTTATAAGTTCTACATAACAAAGACACTTCATAATTAAGTCTTTTTACACAATAACTTTGTTGGACCTACACATGCCAAAAATTATATTTAATAGCACAATTAACACTAGAAGGTATTTCTTTTTAGTCTTTACTTATATTACAAATTAAAATTTTATCTATCTTTATCATATTTAATTATAAAGATTATATAAACAAACTTAATTACAATGTTATAAAATAATAATTTTAATTGATTAATTAATTAATTAATATTATTATTACTACTACATAATAAAATCATGTTTATTTTTAAAGAAGTTATTTTGAATTTTTTAGCAAATAAAATTATAATTGTATGTAAATTATCTTCTTATTTGATAAATATTAGATTTTTTGTTACAAGATATTTTATAAAAGTATATGTGGTATTTATACTATTTTTTAAAAATTAATTAAATTAAAAAAATTAATTGTAATGATACAAAATTAACTTTAAGGAAAAATATTTCTCTATATTTTCAATAGTTAATCAAAATAATATCCTAAAAATACTAGGTTAGTCAAGTTTGATGATTTTACATTTGACATTATTTCTTAAAAGAATTAATTCTTATTCACTATGTGTGATCTTTTTATATTTTTTAAAATTTTAAAGTATCTATTAAAATACATTGAAATAAAATTTATAAGCGCTACTTATCTTATGCAGATAATTAATAAAAATTTTAAATAACATTTGAATCGGTTTGTATTTATGTATCCAGACCATAATTTTGCATATTTAGATAAAAAAGAAGATTAAGGCACTATGTGTGGAATATGGAAGATACCATTCAAATAAAAATTATTAAATTATAAATATATATATATATATATATATATATATAAGCATTTATTGCATATGCAAGTGTTAGATCAATTAAAGACCTAAACCATCACATTGTCAAAATGATATATATTTTAATTTAAAATATAGATTCTTCAAATAGTGTTCAATGAAAATTTCAATATCTAAAACTTTCAACGACCTTTTAAAAACTTTGTAAGATTTTTATTTTATTATTATCATTATTAATATTTATTTTTATGTTAATTTCTCAAATCTTTAAGAATCTTTTAATTTATTTTATGAACATACTTAAATTTGAATATACTTCTAAATCTTTTTATATAAAAATTCTTTACATTATCTTATGATTTTCATGGTTGTGCAAAAAATCTTCTATAATGCTTAATTGCCACAAAATTAATCACATAGAAATACAAAAATCTATCTCAATCTTGTCCTCTTAGGTATTAGAGCAATTATAAAATTATAATACTATTAATTTCAATTCTAATATAATTTAAAATTAGAAATATATATATATATATATATATATATATTACAATAAATAGTATATAACTATGTTTTATGGTTTTTCATGAATATATATATATATATATATATCTATTTTTTATGATTTGAGAGATTTAATATTTTTTCAACTAATGTGAATTTGTTATGAAAGAGTTCTTTATTAAATATATAAAAATGAAATCTTAATATCTTAATATATAATCTGATATATAAGCAAAGTAAAAATATCAAGTATGTAAAAAAAGTGAATTAATATGATGTAGTTTCAGAATCAAAAAATTAAGATAATATTTCAAAATAAATTGAGATATTTATTTTGAATAAAAAAATTGAATAATTTAAACTTATGTTTTGATATTCCAATTCAATCTAATGTTGCAATAGAATTTTTATTTCAATATTTTACTAACTTTATATACTACACTTGGAGTATATATATTTAAATATTTTATTTTTTTATTACTTTTAAATTATAATAATTTTATATAATTACATAATCAAATAATATTACTATGTAATTATATATATGTATCAGATGTTAATATATAATTTTATTTTATGTGTTTGTAAATCTCAAAAAAATTATTTTTTATGGTAATTAAAATTATAAAAGTATATATGGTTTCTTAAATTACTGATATAATTAAATAATAGGTAAAATAATTGGTTTGTATTGAAGGATAAAATTATTTTATCCTCCAATAGTCTAAATCTTTACACGCCTAATAGTTCTTAATTTTTATTAATGAATTATATTTTATTATATCTATATATATATATATATATATATAATGTTATTTAGTTTAGTAATTAAATACCTTAAATAAATTACACTTTTTTCTACTTCAAAGGATATTAATCAATAGAAGAAACACTATGTATATATAATTAAAGCCACCAAAAGTTTCAAAACAATTGTTATAACATCTTCTTGTTTTATAATAAGAAAAAAATATTTATGGCTTTTCAAATAAATTAAAAAATTACATTACTATTCTTGTTAAATATATAAATAGAAATATTTTTTAATAATTACAAATATCATCATAATATTATTCAGAAAAAGAATAAGTAATTCTGAATTAAATGAAGTAATATTAGGTTATTTATAATAAAATAGTTATGAAGTAGAAAGAAAAATAGAAATAAAGATAAAAACGCTCCATTTATTCACAACAAAAAAAATTCAACGCGACAACACTTGAATTAATTATATCATATATAAAATCATGGATATGTAAATACTTCTAAGTAAACTATAAAGGAAATGATGGTTATGCAAACTCCTTAGAATATGAAGTAAGTCAGAAACAGCAGTTGATATTTTCGTATGCTGTACATACTTGTTCAAATCTTCGAGAGCGAAGGAATAAAGGAGTTTCGTCTTGCAGGCTTCGAGAGTTCACGTCCTACTTCGTTTGTAGTTTTGTTTGTGTAACGGAGTGGAAACAATTGTGACGAGAGAGAATGGAACAGGGAGAGGAAGAAGGGAAAGACGAAGAACGAGGAGCCATGGAAAAAGGAAAGAAGCCTCAGGGACGCAAGGAAACGGAGAATTCTCATGCCGAGAGAGAGACAGCGAGAGAGAGAGAGGGTGTGAGATACGCACACTCACTCTTACACACACAATGATAGGCACTGTAGTAGCAGTAATGGAAGTAGAGCGGAGGGAGGAGAAAGAAGCGGCGTGAGAAAGGAAAGGAAAGGAAAAGGAAACCGGGAAGTAGAAGGGCAAGAGCAAGGGGGAGGGGGAAGGCGAAGAGGAAGGAAAGGAGTGGAGGACGGCTGTTGGATGAGGATGAGGGGCGGGAGGAAGGGGGAGATCCAGGGGGAGGAGGGATGGATGAATGAGGGAGGGATGATGGAAGGATGAAGATGATGTATAGAAGGAGGATGAGGAGAATGTGGATGAAGGATGAGGGATGGGGATGGATGATAATGGAGGAGTGGTGGGCATGGGGGGCGGAAGCAAGAAGGGGGCTGCCAGAACAACAACAATAACAACAACAACAATAGAACAGAACAATAACACCAACAACAACAGCAACAGTAGAACAGTTCGGCGAGGGTGAGGGTGGGGCGCGCAGCCTCGGGTGCCTGCCTGCTGCCTGCGAGGTGCCGTTCCCGTGGTGGCAAGTTAATCGAGCCAGCCTAGCCTGCCCACTCCGTGTTGCTGCTCTGTGCATTCATGACCATCAGCCGCAGATTTTTCTTTTTCTTTTGATTGATTTTAGGGATTCTTTTTCCCATCAAGTGGACTCGGTGACAAGGCGGATCGTTTCGTTGCATAATTCCCAATTCCTCTTGTCCTTGGTTTTCTTGGAGCGATGGAAAGCATCGATTGTCATCGAGGCACTATCTTTGGGAGGTGGTAATGCGATGTCGCCCATTCTTTTTCCCTCTCGTGGAATTGGACGATCATGACGAGTCTTCTTTAGTTGCGAGCCCCTTTTTAGTTTTTAATTTCGTCTAGTTTTTTTTTTTTTTTTTTTTTTTTTTTTGTAGTTTCGCTTATATGTAAGTGTCAGCCGAGGTGTAGCTGAGTTAAAATTGTGGCTCTGAAGGTGACGAGGTGAGTCTGACGGAGGTGGTGCTGGTGCTGTTGTGCTGTGCTGTAGTTGATAGGTCGGCCAAGCTTGGACCAGGATAGTTTGTTTTCTGTTGTGAAGAGTGGAGCGATGATCATAAGCAAGCTGTCAGGCTTCAGGAGCGGTGTGAGGCGGAGTTGCTTTAGTGGAGACCATCCCCCTCGGTCGTCGACGGTTGTCCTTCGCAACTCAGTAGGCCTCATTCCTTTCTCTTCCTCTTCCTCTCCCATCTCATTTTCATGAGCGGTGCAGAGCGCTCGACTCTTTAGGGTTGTAAGTTGAGAGGGGAAAGAATAATTAAAACACGACTGTCGAGAGAGGATCCGAGGACGCGCTCGTGAGAGAGCGAAGCTGCAGCTAAGGCATCCTGCTTTTTGAGCCTCGTCCAGTCCGTTCATCCATTCTTTCTTGTCCTGGACCTCATCGCCGTGTAGAGTTTGTCTACTTTTGTCATGTCCTTCTCTACATTCTTCTTCACTTCTCATCCAGTGAAGTTTGTAAGTGTATCTAAACTGCAGTTACCTGTGGTCTGCCGCTGAGCGCGAACATTGCCCTTCTCACTATCTTCGGAAGCGTTTTCCTTACCTTCACTCTATCAACTTCCTCGTTGTTTCAGCACCTCACTTTGCTGTAGTCACCTGGTCTAATTCCTCTCAAAGTTGCCTGCTCGCTTCACTTCCAACCCGCACATCGCTAACTTAGAGCGCATGGCTGGAGTCCGACTTTGGAAATTCATGTGATCTTGTTTTGAGAGTTTACAGCTTCTGCGCGTCTTGTCCAACGCTTTCTCCCACGGATGGCTGCGCTGCAGTTCAGATATTTGCATTATTGATGCAGTAATGAATTTCTGGCACTGCATACGCACCCCGCCGTTCCTTTCGCTTAGATATTGTTTACCATGGAGTGACAAGTCTGTTTGGTAGGGAAAGGTAGCCACCTTAACTCCATCCTACTTGTTTATGAGCGGTAGTTGTAAGTAGGTTGGAATACTGTGTATGTGCGGGTTGTGGCCGGGGCCACGAGGTGGTATGGTCCAGCTGGATGGGTCGCTGAAGGCGTGAATCTCTGCCAAGGGAGTCTACTTTTGATTTAAATCTGGTGTGGAAAGATGTTTTGCTGCTGCCTCTGAAGGAATCCATAAGTATCAAGTCGTTGGTTCGTTCCGTCTCGCATGAAATCCCAATTCTGTGTTACAGTGGGATCGGCGGGCCTCTGCTCAAGTCGTATATGTATGGTGAGTTCATCCCGGTGCGAATTCTGTGCCCGGGTGCTCCGGTTGAGAGTCGTTGACAGTCTGAAATGTAGAAGAGCTTTGGAGCTTGGTCGTTCCAGTGATCTTGTATCTCTAGAACTGTTTGAAACTCAGAAGTTACAAGAGATTGATTGAGTTCCCTTCGAGACTGGTTTTGATGTACATTACCAGTAGATTACGAATCGATTTTTTGAAAATTACCGGACAAGTGATCTGATGTGCTTAACAGTTAAATAATCCTCTTGCACAGAACTGAAAGTCTTCGTATGAAGTGAGAGTTAGAGGGATATCAAGGTTGATAGAAGTGTGTGGGGAGATATTATTGACAGAGGGAGGGCGTATGCCGTACTCTCTGACAACAAAGGCTTCTCAGAAATCGAAACAACTATGGGAAGGAGACGAAAGTTCCGGCCCTAGCAGTACTCCTCAACGTCGATTTTCCCTCTCTTCTCTTGGGGAGCTGAACTACAGACCCTCGAATTTAACTCGGACTACTTCTCTTACTGAGGAAGAGGTCAAGCATGATCTCTCCACCCCGAAAGTGACCCCTACCCCGTCTGTCACATCTGCGCGGGTGGAGCGTTTGGTCAGGGAGCGGCAGCTGAGGAGGAGCGGAAGCTGTTACACGCTTGGTGATGAGGTTGACGCGAAAAGTGAGGTCCTGGGGGGGAATGGGGGAATGGTTGGCGGTAGCGGGGATAGAATGGGGGAATGGTGGGCGGCCACTGAACCCCAGAGCAGCCACAGCAAAGCAGGTGCACACACGGATAACTATGAAAGTTCTAGGAACCTGAATGATAAGATCCACCGAAGTGCACAAAGATTACTGGTGGTCGCCAATCGCCTTCCTGTATCTGCAACTCGACTGGACGGGGACAAGTGGGATTTGCAGTTGAGTGCTGGGGGGCTTGTGAGTGCACTCTTGGGTATGGCCCCCGCAGCCTAGAACTGTTCGTAAAGCGACTTTGCCTTGTCACATTATGGCATCCATTTGGACTTCGCATTAAATGCATTGTTTGAGCGGTGATTAGCCATGTGTTTAGCGACTTCAAGCAGTCAAATATCCGCTCTACAGTATTCCCAGTCTACATTTTTCAGATCTTTCACCATGTTGCACTGCAGTTGAGATTAAGTCGAAATGAATTTTGGACTAAGAACATTGTACGCAGACGGTTTGACTAAGTAGAATCTGATCAGCAAAGGGGGCAATGTCGTGCAGGTGTGAAGCAAATTTTCGAAACAAGGTGGATTGGATGGGCAGGTGTTAGTGTACACGATGAAAGAGGGCGTGCTTCATTAACAGAGGCATTAGCTTTGAAGGTTGGTTTTGTGCATCTGTAGACATAAGTGTTCGAAGTGAACTTTCTGTGCAATATGAGCCTTGTGTCGGGAATAGCTTTAAATGCAGATGGGATTTTGTCACTTTTAGTCGAGAAAGTTACTGCTCGCCGATGAGAAGACTTGGTGAAGCTGTAACGTCCCAGATTTCATTTTCTCTCAGTTGAAGCGTATTCGACTTCACTCTTCCATATTGTAGGCTGCTGTATTTGAGTATTTTTGAAGAGAGCAGCAGTGCATGTTCACGACTGCCATCATAGATTCTAAACTTATCCGTAGTATTTCACGGCATTCTTGTCTAAATTAGAAGCGGCTGTATGACATGTGCTTGCCCACGTGTTACGAATTACCTTCTTCACGGGCCTTAGCTGATCGCATGGCGCAATTCTTATTTGTCCAAATGTTTGTGGATTTCAGGGTTGCGTTCCTGTATTTCTAGATGATGATACAGTTGACCAATATTACAATGGTTACTGCAACAATGTGCTTTGGCCCCTCTTTCACTACATTGGACTACCTCAGGCAGATCGACTCGCTGCTACTAGGAGCTTGGATTCTCAGTATGCAGCCTACCAGCATGCTAATAAGTTGTTTGCGCAGGTGGTTTTCTCGCAATATCAAGTGAGTTATACTTTCTCTTCTGCCTGAACTTGTTAGCATGGCAGGCAATTGTCATTTATTGCTTACGTGTAGACAAGCTAGCGACACTATAGCTGTTCTAGTTGAGTTGAATGAGTTCTCCCTCAGTTCGACTTTCTTCAGTTTGTCCAGTTTCAACTACTTGTTATCGAGGATTTTATCGATGTGATGCACCTTTTCATGGACACGATTCGTTGGTTAACATGAATCACAGGTAGCGGAGTCTTTGTGTACTGCTAGTGTTATTCGGGTCACGATATGTACAGGAGTGAGTAAAATCTAGTACGCTTTGGGGATTCTGAGATTAGCGATCAGTGATCAACAGTTGGCATGGAGGCACTTTTCAGAATTATAAGTGCATAGCTAATCTCAGATGGTTTTATTCATCCTCTGTTCAAGGCTGCGGGGCAGCAGCAGTAAATCTACCTCCACAATGAATGAAAGCAATTTGAAGGATTTAAAGGTACTCATGCTGATAAGGTTCTTTCGGTTTGATGTCAGGAAGGGGATGTGGTCTGGTGTCACGATTACCATCTTATGTGCCTCCCGCAAGAATTAAAGACGTTAAATCCTCGCATGAAAGTGGGTTGGTTCTTGCACACACCATTCCCTTCCTCTGAAATATATCGGACTTTGCCACTACGTTCAGAATTGCTAAAGGCGGTGCTTACAGCTGATCTGATTGGGTAGGTGTTCTCTACGAATCGACCTCTACATTTAGAAGGTTCAGTTGAAGCCGAAATTTTCTCTGTTTAATGTAGTTCAGTAAAGTATCCTGTATTATTTTCTTAGCGAGTACTTCTGATCGTAATTATCGGCTTTGCTACCCTAATCCCATGATTTTCTGTGTTTTTCTAGCATGAACCCATTCTTCAATTTCTCACCCGTCTTCCCATCTTGGCTGTCAGAAAGTGTTACTTTTGATGTTTAATTTTGACTAAAATACTGTATGATGCAGCTTTCATACATATGATTACGCAAGACATTTTGTGAGCGCTTGTACACGCATTTTGGGTCTAGAGGGTACGCCAGAAGGTGTCGAGGATCAAGGAAAACTTACACGTGTTGCAGCGGTACGTTCTTCTTATCCACGATTTCTTTGCAAGGGATGGGTGATACGTGAGGTGTTTGTGGGTTTTGGATGAGATTGAGTGTTAGACTGAAGGCTGAATCTTGTTTTGCGCATTACATATTCTGTCCTGCCATATGCTAGCGATCTGCTGCAATCACCGTGAAGGTGATATTGTTGGTGAAGTTGTGTTGGAGCGCCTTTTCAATGCAGAGTGAGTGATGCATTTCTTTTTCTTTGCAGTTTCCTATAGGTATCGACCCTGAAAGATTTATCCAAGCTCTTGAAACAGAACAAGTGAAGTTGCACGTCAAGGAACTGCTGCGATTCTTTGCAGGCAGAAAGGTGATATACATGTTAAATGTGATGAGCAAGTTTCTATCTATCATCATACATCAGGGTTTCAATGAACCCTTCAAAGTTTTGGATATCTAGATACATTGCGGTTTGTTGAGAATATGCTTTCCTATTTGAGAGCTTTGTCTATCCCCACAAAAAAAAAAAATCCTTGTTCAAAGTTAGAGGAGCATTCGATATTTTTTTTTATAGAAAAGTACTGCGGTGTGACATTCCACTTGTCTCTTTTGGGCAGTTGTGTTCGATGCATCGTACATTGTGAACACCGTGATGACTAAATTTAGAAGTAGAAAGTGTTCAAAGCTGCTACCGTGCAGCTTTTAGTTGATAAGGAGTATGTCTCTGCTTCATGGTACTCATGTCTGCGTTATTTTCAAACAGGTTATGTTGGGTGTTGATCGGCTCGATATGATTAAAGGAATTCCCCAAAAGCTACTCGCATTTGAGATGTTTCTGGAAAAGAATCCTGAATGGCGCGAGAAAGTGATGCTTGTTCAAATTGCTGTGCCAACTCGAACTGATGTACACGAATGTAAGATTTTTAGTGTTTGCTACTGAATTATGCCGTCTTGAACTTCAAAATTTTAATTTTTTTGCTGTAACATGGAATTGGTCGAATTACAGCTTCTCAGATCCAATGAGTGGTTCTACTTTATAGAAATAATTTTTCTGTGCAGATCAACGTTTGACCAGTCAGGTCCATGAAATAGTTGGTCGCATCAATGGTCGCTATGGAACAGTAACTTTTGTGCCCATCCATCATTTGGTTAGTATATGATCCTGTTCCTTTTATTCCTCATTGCTTTACCTCCAATTATTATCATTTTTTTTCTTTGTTGAATTGATGATTGATGTTGTCTAGCTTCGATCAGATTTACGAGTGGGTTATCTATATTATTAATGCGGTAGAGACGTGTTGTGTTCATGCTCTGTATTTGTTTGAAATAAATACCGTGAATGCGTGCATTTCTTGGATTTCGGATGATGATTTTTCTTTTGAGTTTTTGTGACTTTCAAAGTAGAACAGCTAAGAGAGTGTGTTAAATGAGCATGGGGTGTTTGAACGATTTTTTTTACGATCCTCAGTGCCGTCACAAGATTTGTATTCTTAAAGCTTATTTTGGAAACATGCTACGCGTCTTAAGCCTACGTGTACTGTATTTGCAGGATCGCTCCTTGGCATTTCATGAGTTGTGTGCTTTGTATGCCAGTACAGGTATTCCTCTTGGTTACTTATCAAATATCATTCACTTGTTTGCCTACTTAAGGGTTTTGTCTATGTTAATATCCCCATTCTGGTATGAAGAAACTAGCAGGAGCTAGTTTCTTGAGAGGTTATGTTCTGAAAGTTATCTGATTTTCTATTATTTATTGTTTTCCATCTATTATTTTTTTTCTCTGAAATTCACTCCTGCATAGATGTGGCGTTGGTCACTTCGTTGCGAGATGGGATGAACCTTGTAAGCTATGAGTATGTTGCCTGCCAGAACTTCAAGAACACTGAAGGTGTATTGGTATTAAGTGAGGTCAGTCTGCCGCCTTATTTTCTGGATTTCTAGGATCAGCAAGAGAGAAAGAATTACCGACAATTTTCTCAAGTTAACATTTCACAAAGTATTACCATAAGACTTTCATATCGTTTGGTTTGTTCTCTGAAGGAGTAAGAAGCATAAAAGACATGGGTAGTCAGGCTCTGGTCTTTATGTCATGTTATATTTTTTTAACGTGATTTCTGAAGTTAATGGGATGTGCAGTTTGCAGGAGCTGCACAGTCTTTAGGAGCTGGGGCCATACTTGTAAATCCTTGGAACATAAGGGAAATGTACATTGCTATTGAAGAGGCTCTGAAAATGAGTGATGAAGAAAGGAAAGAGCGTCACCGTCATAACTTCACCCATGTTACTACCCACACGGCTCAGGCTTGGGCTCATAATTTTGTCAGGTGATATTGAGTACCCAGAGGGTCCAATGCTGGACTCTGCACATACTCCAGTGTTCTTAGTGCTCATATATGTATCTTGTGTCCAGAATGTAGATGTGTTGCAATCGTTGTAGTTATGTGCTGCCGGTTGCAGGCGTATACTGTTGTTAACTCATGTTGAATTGAAATCAAAATGACTTCTTTGTAGAAAGCAGCCTGAAGAAAAATTTAAGAAGCAATCCTTCATTGAACAGGGAGAACTTGCAAAAAGTTGTGGCAATGATATCACGAAAATGTCCGTAGGTTATTTTTTTTGTGATACAGGAAGTCTATCTCGTCAGCCAATGCAAACGTTCTAATCACAATTATTTTTGATGAATGTTAGTGAGCTATATGATACCATCGTGGAGGCTGAGCTTCGAACGTTGAACGAACCTCCGAATCTACCAGTAGATTCTGCCAAAGAAAGCTTTCTGAACTCGAAGAATCGGTTGCTTGTTTTTGTGAGTTTTCTAGAATTTCTGATTTTATTTGTCCTTTTCTTTGCTGTGACAATGAACTGTTATTTTTCATTGTGAAGCTCGATGCAGATACGCTTTCTGGGTCGCTCTTGGCTTAATTTTTATTTGTCTTTTGATGTTATTTTTGTAGTTGTTCTTCTCGTGAAGAATAGCGAGTGAAGATGGTAGAAAAGGTTCAGCCTATTAGTGTCTAGTATTAGTGCCTTCAAAGACCTTTCTTGGATCATTACGTGGAAGTAGGGTCCAGAAAGGAGCTATCTGGAGCTGTCGATTTCTTTTGGGATATCTCAGAGGTTTTTGATGATTGTGAGCCAAATCCCAAAGTCTAGTCAATACGAGTTGTGTGAATGTGTTGTAATCAGGGTTTCAATTCGACCATCACTGCAACAGTGGAAGCTCCACGACGGGACCAGATTAAAGAGTCTAAACTGGGTTTACATCCAGGCATTAAGGAGTGTCTTGGGACTCTTTGCTCTGATCCGAACACTGACGTTGTGATTCTTAGTGGCAGCAAGCGGGATACTCTGGAAGAGGTTATTTACTTGCCTTGATTCATTTCTTAGTTTGCATTACAAGCAGCGTGCGCCTGTGATTTGGTCTGGTTGAAGCATGCGTATGCAGCGTGACCCAAAGGTTTGGCTGATTTTTTTTTTTTTTTTTTTTTTTTTTTTTCAACTCTGACCTACCTTCCATCCTCCCGCGGGTAGTTAATTAGGATCTTCTTTCGTCCATGTTTTGTAGGTTTTTGGAGGGTTTAATATTTGGCTTGCAGCTGAAAATGGTATGTATTTGCGCGATCTTATTGGTAAATGGATGCCCACAATGGAGCATTTGAACATGGACTGGAAAGATAGTGTGCAAGTAAGAATTGTGCGCTACATGGATGCTTGGCTTAGCAACTACTTGATTGCATTTACTTTTTATGTTACCATTGACTTGTATTATGTGTTGCGATCCGTTGCTGCCCAGCATGAAGTGTTTATGTCCCGGTATTCTTTTCGGGAATGGAGTTTTAATGTAGCATTGAAATATCCTATCTTGATTCTCTCTGTATTTACTTCGTTGAGGTTCTGTTATTTCAGCTCGTATTCGATTACTTCTGCGCAAGAACGCCACGATCTTTTGTAGAGAAGCGAGAGACATCTTTGGTTTGGAATTATAAATATGCTGGTATGTTTTTCATTTCGAAAGTTAATTCTGTCACTGAATTTACTGCAAATCAATACTGAAGCAGGGGGTAACTTATCACACAGGAGGGAAGTACTTGAATAGGAAGACTTTCGGGAACCAACTGGTGTTAATTAAAAGTTGACTGCAGATTTGGAGTTTGGAAGGGTCCAAGCACGAAACATGCTTCAACATCTATGGACAGGGCCCATCTCCAATGCGGCTGTGGATGTCGTTCAAGGTCAAAAGTCAGTGGAGGTCCGTCCTATTGGTGTTTCAAAGGTAATTTTTCCCGCGCGTGCGCCCCTCTTCCATAGATTAGGAGTTGATTTGGCATAATAGAATTCCCGTCAAACACGTGTTTAAATAATGTGTAAAAATTTCTGGCGCTTTGGTTATATCTACTTGGTTTTGCTCATCTTTGACTGAAATTACAGCTCTGGAATATATTCTACAAAACTCAATAGTCCTGTTTTAAATATTATCCTTCTTACCTGAAGTTCCAACCAATAATAATGGGTATTCTGTCCGTGGTTGTGAAGTGCCGTTGAAATGCACATCTGTGCAGTAGATAGTCTTATGGCAATTCAATGCTCATTTTCGTAGTTTTTATCTGACGTCTTGGAGAGTCAGCTGCTCAAACCTTTTTTTGTCGTCAAGCCCTGGTGACTCTGAGCATTTTTGGTGAAGCATAAGTGGCTTAACATTCTTGGATCAGGGGTTTTTGAGTTCTGCCTATCATGGAATTCCACCTTGGCACCAAATGCACAATTATCTTTGGGCATTTGTTTTTACAGGGTGCAGCAATCGATCGAATTGTATTTGAAATTATACGCAGCAAGCATCCCAGCAGTTCACAGACACCAAATATTCAGTTCGACTTTGTCATGTGCCTGGGCCATTTTTTGAGCAAGGTTTTGATATTAAACGACTACTTTATTGTTTTCACAATTATGTAATGTTGGTGCGAGTACTATTTGTTCACAGCTTGTCTATTCTGTTTCACTTTCAAGCGTTTTGACTAATCGGATGATGTGCAGGATGAGGATGTGTATGCTTATTTCGATCCGGATAACGCATTTGATAGAGATAATCGGTGCAGTAATGGAAAGCTGGAAAGGAACCTTGATCGACGGTTGTCTGCAAAGTCATGTGATCGTGCATCGGTAAAGAATAATAAATCGAGCGTGGTTCGAACGAAGACTTACCCACTCTTTTCACCAGATCGTAATGGAGCTCATTCGAGCGCTTCGCATTCAAGATCTAACAGCTTCAAAGAAGGCAGTATCTATCAATACTCTGATAGAGACATCATGGGAGACCTGGTGAACGTGTCGCCAGAAACTTACATCTCGTGTGCAGTGGGAAAAAAACATTCATCCGCCCGATATTATTTGGACACAGTAAATGAGGTCGTCTCGTTTGTGAAGTCACTTGCCGATGCGTGTCCTTGTGAAATGGAGTCTCAAGATCAATCGCTGCCATCGGTCAGTTGAGGGTCTGGTCCTCATGGTGTCCCCATGTTCTGCTGATTCGTTGCCATACCGTGGTGCTAGGAATAGTATTAAATACAGTGTAACCATTTTTTAAAATATGATGCTGGATCTGTTACCAGTAGCCCTACAAATTTCTTTAAATTTAAAGATCTAATCTACTTTGTAGCTATCATGTTTCCTCACATGGTTTTAAATCAGCTTCAAGTCTGGTTGTTCTTTGCATAGAAGTATTTGCCGTGCCAAATGGAGTCGTGTTTGGAGGTTGTAATTCAGGTGGTAAATGCTGCAGTGTCCAACCCAGTGCCCAAACCATCTTAGGTAAGGTTGGCATCAATGTCTCATCTTTCATCCTTCTTTCCTGATCGTGTGTGTGGTAGTACGTTATCTTGCTTAACTACAAGGATGTTTTGCCACCAGCTGGTGTTGGCAATGGGGGCCACTTTGCAAAATCTACGTATTGGTATTTACAAAAGAGTTGCCGTTTCACTAGTGCACCCTGCTCGCATGCTTCATCTGGTCATGATGTACTTTGAAGTGGACCCACTTTGCAGTACCCTTTCCTTAAATGCTTTATCCTCTGCCGTTCTCTCTTGGTGTATATTTTTCTCGAAGTACCACTATATACGTTAGCCTCCTCAGAAGAGTAATTTAGCCTGAACTCCAAGAAAAATCGATCCCTTTCGTACCCTTTGTGTCGAAATGTTGTAATTAATTCGGCTTGCTGGCGACGCCCTTGAGAGCCTTTTGTCTGAATTTGGTTTTTAACAGTCGTCAATTTACATACCTCAATCTCGACAGTGATAGGCAAAGCTTTAACCGAAAATAGAATGTGTTCCTACCACATCCTAAGACATTTGCCAGTACCATTTACCATACGATTGTGAACGTCAGTTTTAATTGACTTCCTGAAATTAGTTTTCTCGACTATATTCAACTCAGTACATCGTGTTAATCGTTTGAGCAATTAGGCAAATTCGTTTTGTACCAACAATCTAGCCAATACACACATTTGCTTCTAATTAACGCCATGAAATGCAAACTCCATCTGATGATAAACGTCTGTACTTCCCTCGCTTCTATTAAATTCAGTCAATTCCACCACAATCACTTCAGAATCCACGAAATCCAAACAGATGCATTCTCTACAGTCCTTGGCAATGAAAAGCTTCGGTAGCACCGTGGGCTGTTTCTTCACACCACTAACATCATCAGGGATCCATCGCAGACGTGCCATATCGGTGGAAAGTGCACACAGTGGCTTGGTAACTTGCTCAGCACCAGTCACACACTCTCTCGCACTCCCACTCATCATCTCTCTCACTTGTTTTTCGCAGGGGATTCTGATGTCCACAGATTCTTAAGAGGAAACTCAGGCTAAATAAAGTCTTCACTGATAAGCACGAAGTCGGGGAAGAATCGACAAGTTGGAGAGAAATCAGACAAAGATTCACCCCACCGTGGGACCCGAGCTCTGACCAACCTAAATATGGGTCTTGCCGTTGAGTGGTGGAGACAGAAGTGGGGCGATAGGCAGGTGAGGAGGGCATGCAAGCAAGGAGGAGGTGATGGTGGGGACTGCAGCATTGATCAGATGCCATCGCGGATTTCGCATGATTCTCGCTCAACCTACAATTGCCTTTGCCAGGTTTTCCCCCTCCCCTACCCCTTTAACTGCCAAGTGACTGCTTTTGCTTGCATTTCGGCGCCGTGTTCAAGGCCTCACCGCTTTTGTGCCCAATCCACAACCGCTGGCTATGAACAAATTACGTGGGGTTGGGGATTTAGGGTTGTCCTTTTTTCTTTTCAATTTTTTGTTTATTCTGCAACAAAGATGGGTGAATCTTCATGCTGTTGATTCAGATAGGTTACATGCTGACATTGTTTTGTCTGTGTTGCGAATTTGATGAGGTTGCTGGTCTGTGAGTAGCTGGGGTTTTAGAAGGAGGTAATTCCTGAAAAAAAAAAACAATAAAAAACAATAATAAAACAATCTTTGTGGCTGTTATGTTGCTGCAGTTGATGCTATTCCTGGTGCAAATGTTGTTAACTTTTGGAAAAGAGGATTTCTTTGGGGAGCAGACCTATCAACATCTGTATTTGATTCTTTTATAAATAATTTAGACTGTGTGCATTGTGCGAACCATCTCCTCTAGCTGCCATTTGTGATTTGGGGAACCATGTCGTTTTGTTGTATCTGAAGGGTTCGTTTGCGAACCTTAATCATCGAAGGCCATATAACTCAATTTGTTTAGGAATGTTGGTAGATCTTTTTCAATAAAGTTTGATGGACTTTATGTAGGTTGTTAGAGGTTTGACTTTTACAAAGTGTGTTGATGAGAGTAATTCACCAATTTTGAGTTCTTCTTATACTGGACTGGTATGAAAACATGTAGACAATAGTCTCTTTGGTTAGTAGAACATTTGGTTTGTGGAAATAAAGACTAGTATTGTTATTTATGATAGGAAAGATTTGCCTACTTTAAATATTAATAGCAAAGTGTTAGTTATTTATTATTCCATCAAAGTCATTGCATTGTAAATGTATTTAAAGTAGTTTTTGATTTTACAGACATTTTTAATTGAGTTTAAAGATTGAAATAATGGTATATGTCTACTTGTTGTACTAGTCTATTTGTAGATCTCAATATGAGAAATCATTATATATATATACATAAGATCTAGATATATCTTACATAAGTAAAAGACAATTATATTAGTTAGAATCTAAGGTATTTTTATAAATTTTTGTGTTAAAGAAATTAAATATTTGTATCTTGTTAAAAATAAAAGAATAAAATTTATTAGCTAAACTTTTGTATTCATGGAAGTTTACAAATTTTTTATTTAAATAATTCGTCTTTGTATGTTGCTTATTTTTGTATTCTAATAATTTAGAAATTTGAAACCAATGGTCATTATATAATAGCATAATCTCTAAATGCATTTAGATTGGATCTATTTGATAATACTTAGAAGACTTAAAATGATGATTATATAAGAAGAGAAGGAATATTTGAGAAAAAGTGGTAATAATTCAATACACACTCTATTTAGTTTCTATTATATTAAAAAGAACTATTTTAATATGTTATATTAGCAACTAATTAGAAGATTGAAATTTATAGAGATATTACCTTATTTAAGTATTTATTCAAGCTAAGAGCCTCAATTCTCTTTTATGCTAAGAAATTTATACATGAAATTTTAAACTTTGTATAGAATAAAAATATTTTTGATGAAAATTCTTACTTCTATTAAGTTTAATTTGAAAGAAAGCCATAGAGTTTGTTCTTTCATAACATTGATATTTATTAGATGTCTTATTTTATTGAAGATTTTATTAAATTTTATTCTTTGTTAAATGTAATTTGTGTACACTCTTTACTAACAAAGATCTTTGTTTGATCATACATTCAATATAAGTCTTTTATTTTCAATTAAATATTATTAAAAAATAATATAATATATTTTAGACAAAATATTCTTTATATATATATATATATATATAGAGAGAGAGAGAGAGAGAGAGAGAAATATACATGTATGTATAAATATATAGAAAAATATTCTTTATCCATTACATTGCTAAGGCCTTTATAGTATTTTAAAGATCTTAGATAAAAAAAAACTTATTGTTTATGTATATTTCATTATTTATGATTTTGATTGTAATTATTTAAAATTTAGTTATTTGTATAAATATAAGGACATATCATTAAATAAAAAAATAAATTTTAATACATTACTTTTTTCTATTTTATATCTTTATAATATGTAAAAGAATAATATAATATAAAAATTTAATAATATACATTTTGCAGTTTATCAAAAAAAACTTCTTATATAAGGGTGCAATCTTTAAGTATCCTTGTACATATAATGTCGCTATACAAAGTTTTCTTTGAAGTTTGTTGGATCTAAGGAACTACTATAGAAGTGTTTTACAACTTAAATAATTTTCTTGCAAGCCTTGTGGTCATTAAAGATCTTTTGCTCAACATCTTTGATTGCTTGTACATATTATAGTAAGATTAAAACCATCACAAGTCTTTTCAAAGATATTTCCTAGATTCAAATCCTAATTGAAGACATCTTAGATTCTTTATACTTAAAATAGTCACATTAATTTTTTAAAAAAAATGTTATGTCTTGTTTTATCTTCTTTCTCCATTTTTTAATCTATATATATTGGTTGCTTATTTGCAAAAGTTTAGATTCCATACTTTTTAATATTTTAAATTTTAAATTTTAAGTTAAAAAATTATAAATAAAGATATTATTTTTAGTCTTTTTATTTATTTTATTTTATTTTATTTTTAATAATTCACAATAATTACTTTTTTAAGTAAAATATATTATTTTATCAAAAATATTATATAAAACATAATTACAGTTTTAAAGTTTTAACGTAATAATATTTTAATTACATATAATATAAATATCAAACACAAAAATTTATATCTTCATTAAAAAGCTGTAAAAAAATATTTTGTACTTTTAAAGTTTTTTATTATGTAAAGTTTTACTCATGGTAAGTAATTAAATAATTTTAAATGCATAATAAAATAATTTTTTTAATCTTATATTTAAAATATATATTTTAAAATTAAAATAAAAAATTATCTAACTTTTGTATATAATTATTACTTATTAATTTTATTAAAAAATTACACGTATAGGTAAAAAAAATAATTTCAATAGGCTTGATTTGTTGATTGTATTACAAAATATTAGAATTTTATTTTTGGTAAGCAACTATAGAAATTTAATCAAGTTTTTAAAATAATAACTATATTATAAAAATTATACAAAAATTAAAAATAGATGGAAAAATTATTAGCTATTCTGATTTTTTATTTTATTTTACTTTTATGAACTTAAATGACTAAAAAAAAATTACTAGTAAAATTCTATGCCATATACATTATGTTTAAAAAATGATAATAAAAAATATGTATTAAATAAATAAATAATATTTATCTGTCTAAAAATAAATATTATATAATTTGTTAAATTTAAGGTATGCAATTGATTAGCATAAGTCCATTGTTGGAGCAAATGTTTAATTTAGGACTCAGAATTTATTTAATTTTATTTATTTTTAATTTATATATTAAACTTATAAATATTAAAATTAAAATTTTATCTAAATAATATTAAGTAAAAACT